TATTTGAACAGTGAGAGACAGAATAACAATAATAAAATCCAGAAAAATGCATGTCAAAAATGTTATGAATTGATTTGTATTTTACTGAGGGAAATAAGTATTTGACCCCCTCTCAATCAGACAGATTTCTGGCTCCCAGGTGTCTTTTATACAGGTAACGAGCTGAGATTAGAAGCACACTCTTAAAGGGAGTGGTCCTAATCTCAGTTTGTTACCTGTATAAAAGACACCTGTCCACAGAAGCAATCAATCAGATTCCAAACTCTCCACCATGGCCAAGACCAAAGAGCTCTCCAAGGATGTCAGGGACAAGATTGTAGACCTACACAAGGCTGGAATGGGCTACAAGACCATCGCCAAGCAGCTTGGTGAGAAGGTGACAACAGTTGGTGCGATTATTCGCAAATGGAAGAAACACAAAATAACTGTCAATCTCCCTCGGCCTGGGGCTCCATGCAAGATCTCACCTCGTGGAGTTGCAATGATCATGAGAACGGTGTGGAATCAGCCCAGAACTACACAGGAGGATCTTGTCAATGACCTCAAGGCAGCTGGGACCATAGTCACCAAGAAAACAATTGGTAACACACTACGCCGTGAAGGACTGAAATCCTGCATCGCCCACAAGGTCCCCCTGCTCAAGAAAGCACATATACAGGCCCGTCTGAAGTTTGCCAATGAACATCTGAATGATTCAGAGGAGAACTGGGTGAAAGTGTTGTGGTCAGATGAGACCAAAATGGAGCTCTTTGGTATCAACTCAACTCGCCGTGTTTGGAGGAAGAGGAATGCTGCCTATGACCCCAAGAACACCATCCCCACCGTCAAACATGGAGGTGGAAACATTATGCTTTGGGAGTGTTTTTCTGCTAAGGGGACAGTACAACTTCACCGCATCAAAGGGATGATGGACGGGGCCATGTACCGTCAAGTCTTGGGTGAGAACCTCCTTCCCTCAGCCAGGGCATTGAAAATGGGCCGTGGATGGGTATTCCAGCATGACAATGACCCAAAACACACAGCCAAGGCAACAAAGGAATGGCTCAAGAAGAAGCACATTAAGGTCCTGGAGTGGCCTAGCCAGTCTCCAGACCTTAATCCCATAGAAAATCAGTGGAGGGAGCTGAAGGTTCGAGTTGCCAAACGTCAGCCTCGAAACCTTAATGACTTGGAGAAGATCTGCAAAGAGGAGTGGAACAAAATCCCTCCTGAGATGTGTGCAAACCTGGTGGCCAACTACAAGAAACGTCTGACCTCTGTGATTGCCAACAAGGGTTTTGCCACCAAGTACTATGTCATGTTATGCAGAGGGGTCAAATACGTATTTCCCTCATTAAAATGTAAATCAATTTATACAATTTTTGACATGCGTTTTTCTGGATTTTTTTGTTGTTATTCTGTCTCTCACTGTTCAAATAAACCTACCATTAAAATTATAGACTGATCATGTCTTTGTCAGTGGGCAAACGTACAAAATCAGCAGGGGATCAAATACTTTCTTCCCTCACTGTATATACACACACACTACCAGTCAAGTTTGGACACACCTACTCATTCAAGGGTTTCTTTATTTTTACTATTTTCTACATTGTAGAATAATAGTGAAGACATCAAAACTATAAAATAACACATATGGAATCATGTAGTAACCAAAGAAAAGTGTTAAACAAATCAAAATATATTTTACATGTGAGATTCTTCAAATAGCCACCCTTTGCCTTGATGACAGCTTTGCACACTCTTGGCATTCTCTCAACCAGCTTCACCTGGAATGCTTTTCCAACAGTCTTGAAGGAGTTCCCTCATATGCTGAGCACTTGTTGGCTGCTTTTCCTTCACTCTACGGTCCGACTCATCCCAAACCATCTCAATTGTGTTGAGGTCGGGTGATTGTGGAGGCCAGGTCATCTGATGCAGCACTCCATCACTCTCCTTCTTGGTAAAATAGCCCTTACACAGCCTGGATGTGTGTTTTGGGTCATTGTCCTGTTGAAAAACAAATGATAGTCCCACTAAGCCCAAACCAGATGGGATGGCGTATCGCTGCAGAACGCTGTGGTAGCCATGCTGGTTATTTCATAGTTTTGATGTCTTCACTATTATTCTACAATGTAGAAAATAGTAAAAATAAAGAAAAACCCTGGAATGAGTAGGTGTGTCCAAACCTTTGACTGGTGCTGTATGTCGCTTCCTCTTTGAACTGACCACTGTCCGACGAACAGATTAACACAGTAACTCTGTAAAAATAAATCCATATTACTTAAAGTACGATAGAACATATTAAAATTCGCAGCGCTTTATGAACTCTCGAAACAAACCAAAACAAGGCTAGACGCGTCTTCATCCCTGGCATCATCATCATCATCATGGTTCACGCTCTCCATTTTACACTGACTCCTATCTTATATTTGTACAGTCTAGGACTACTACTCATCCCTGACAGGAAAACAATCCCAACGTCTACATTTGAGGTGACTGTACGGATGAGTAGTTCACATACTGTAGGTTATTTTCAATTCAAACCCGACCTCAAAGCCAGTTCCACTGCTTTATTCATTCTTCCCCTGTAAATCAGGGACTGGTTTAGACCTGGGAGTCTCCACCCTCACTAAAGGAATCTCTCAGCCCCCCCCCCCCCCCCCCCCCCCCCCCCCCCCACCCCCCACCCCCCCTTTATATCGATTAATCAGAGACAAAAACCCAAACACCAGAACTACTGGTTCCATCACATCATTCCATCCCATCACTTATTCAGTTTACACACAGAATCTGCCAAAGAGATCAACAGCTAAGAGGCTTTGGTTTACAAGATGCTCACAGTGGATGAAGACACGGGCCAATCAAGACAGAGCAACTAAACTCAGCAAAAAAAGAAACGTCCCTTTTTCAGGACCCTGTCTTTCAAAGATAATTCGTAAAAATCCAAATAACTTCACAGATCTTCATTGTAAAGGGTTTAAAAAATGTTTCCCATGCTTGTTCAATGAACCATAAACAATTAATTTACATACACCTGTGGAACGGTCGTTAAGACACTAACAGCTTACAGACGGTAGGCAATTAAGGTCACAGTTATGAAAACTTAGGACACTAAAGAGGCCTTTCTACTGATTGAAAAACACCAAAAGAAAGATGCCCAGGGTCCCTGCTCATCTGCGTGAACGTGCCTTAGGCATGCTGCAAGGAGGCATGAGGACTGCAGATGTGGCCAGGGCAATAAATTGCAATGTCCGTACTGTGAGACGCCTAAGACAGCGCTACAGGGAGACAGGACGGACAGCTGATCGTCCTCGCAGTGGGTTTTATTGATCCTCCTTGAGAAGGGTACCCTGCTCCCCCACAGTGGATCTCAGATTTTTCTGTCATTGGAATCATTGGGCGGGCCGCCTACGTAAAAAAAATAATTGATACACTACATAACCAAAAGTATGTGGACACCTGCTCATCCAACATCTCATTCCAAAATCATGGGCATTAATACGGAGTTGGTCCCCCCCTTTGCTGTTATAACAGCCTCCCCTCTTCTGGGAAGGCTTTCCACTAGATGTTGGAACATTATTGCGGGGACTTGGTTCCATTCAGCCACAAGAGCATTAGTGAGGTCGGGCACTGATGTTGGGCGATTAGGCCTGGCTCGCAGTCGGCGTTCCAATTCATCCCAAAGGTGTTCGATGGGGTTGAGGTCAGGGCTCTGAGCAGGCCAGTCAAGTTCTTCCACACCGATCTCGACAAACCATTTCTGTATGGACCTCGCTTTGTGGACAGGGGCATTGTCATGATGAAACAGGAAAGGGCCTTCCCCAAACTGTTGCCACTAAGTTGGAAGCACAGAATCGTCTAGAATGTCATTGTATGCTGTAGCGTTAAGATTTCCCTTCACTGGAACTAAGGGGCCTAGCCCGAATCATGAAAAACAGCCCCAGACCATTATTCCTCCTCCACCAAACTTTACAGTTGGCACTATGCATTCGGGCCGGTAGCGTCCTCCTGGCATCTGCCAAACCCAGATTTGTCCGTCGGACTGCCAGATGGTGAAGCGTGATTCAACACGCCAGAGAACGCATTTCCACTGCTCCTGATTCCAACGGCGGTGAACTTTACACCAATTCAGCCGACGCTTGGCATTGTGAATTAGGCTTGTGTGCGGCCATTTCATGAAGCTCCCGATGAACAGTTCTTGTGCTGCCGTTGCTTCGAGAGGCAGTTTGGAACTCGGGAGTGAGTGTTGCAACCGAGGACAGACGATTTTTACGCACTACGTGCCTCAGCACTCAGATATCCCGTTCTGTGAGCTTGTGTGGCCTACCACATTGTGGCTGAGCCGTTGTTTCTCCTAGACGTTTCCACTTCACAATAACAGCACTTACAGTTGACCGGGGCAGCTCTAGCAGGGCAGACATTTGATTAACTGACTTAACTGGCATCCTATGACAGTGTCACGTTGAAAGTCACTGATCTCTTCAGTAAGGTCATTCTACTGACAATGTTTGTCTGTGGAGATTGCATGGCTGTGTGCTCGATTTTATACACCTGTCAGCAACGAGTGTGGCTGAAATAGCCGAATACATTAATTAGAAGGGGTGTCCACATACTTTTGTATGTATAGTGTATATTTTCAGGATGGAAAAATGCTTTGAGTGTAAACTTAAACGACTAAAACCAGATATAGAAATTAAAATATAAAGGACCTATATATATTTTTTAATATAATCTTTGAGAAGTAACAATCAAAATAAAAGCAAAGAGAATTGAAATTCCAAAAACAAGGAATTTAGCAGTATCGATTTTGTTATGTTTGAGTAAATAACAGGAAATGTGCTTTAAAACTACAAAAAAAAAATGTAAACTCCATGGAGTAAGATTGTGGCCTCTAAAATTCACCCCCCCCCCCCCCCCCAAGCCCCTATTTTCACCCAGAAAAAATAACCATTGAGCTTCTGAGACAGATCTGTCTTCTATGTATTGATTATTTATCTGCTCTGAACCTCGGTGTAATAATCTCAGTCATTTTCAAATATCTCTGAAAGCAGGAAGAGCTCTCGTGGCTCGTCTCCGGACTCAGTCTCCCCTGACTCCGTCTGAACCTGGCGGAGGAGCTCTTCAAACTGGGGCAGAACACTACTGTACAGGAAATCAATGATCTCTGAAAGTAAAACACACATACATTAAAATCAGCAAACAACAACATCTTCCTTGTTTATATTTAAAGGGGATTTCCATTTTTGGGGCGATCAGTGTTTTTACTGTGATGACATTGAGCTTTTCATATCTTTCAGAATGTAGAAAAAAACTAATTTTCACATACAAACGTCTACTTTTATAGTGCTGGTGATGAACAGGTTAAAAACAGTCTACTTTTATAGTGCTGGTGATGAACAGGTTAAAAACAGTCTACTTTTATAGTGCTGGTGATGAACAGGTTAAAAACAGTCTACTTTTATAGTGCTGGTGATGAACAGGTTAAAAACAGTCTACTTTTATAGTGCTGGTGATGAATAGGAGGTTAAAAACAGTCTACTTTTATAGTGCTGGTGATGAACAGGTTAAAAACAGTCTACTTTTATAGTGCTGGTGATGAACAGGTTAAAAACAGTCTACTTTTATAGTGCTGGTGATGAACAGGTTAAAAACAGTCTACTTTTATAGTGCTGGTGATGAACAGGTTAAAAACAGTCTACTTTTATAGTGCTGGTGATGAACAGGTTAAAAACAGTCTACTTTTATAGTGCTGGTGATGAACAGGTTAAAAACAGTCTACTTTTATAGTGCTGGTGATGAACAGGTTAAAAACAGTCTACTTTTATAGTGCTGGTGATGAACAGGTTAAAAACAGTCTACTTTTATAGTGCTGGTGATGAACAGGTTAAAAACAGTCTACTTTTATAGTGCTGGTGATGAACAGGTTAAAAACAGTCTACTTTTATAGTGCTGGTGATGAACAGGTTAAAAACAGTCTACTTTTATAGTGCTGGTGATGAACAGGTTAAAAACAGTCTACTTTTATAGTGCTGGTGATGAACAGGTTAAAAACAGTCTACTTTTATAGTGCTGGTGATGAACAGGTTAAAAACAGTCTACTTTTATAGTGCTGGTGATGAACAGGTTAAAAACAGTCTACTTTTATAGTGCTGGTGATGAACAGGTTAAAAACAGTCTACTTTTATAGTGCTGGTGATGAACAGGTTAAAAACAGTCTACTTTTATAGTGCTGGTGATGAACAGGTTAAAAACAGTCTACTTTTATAGTGCTGGTGATGAACAGGTTAAAAACAGTCTACTTTTATAGTGCTGGTGATGAACAGGTTAAAAACAGTCTACTTTTATAGTGCTGGTGATGAACAGGTTAAAAACAGTCTACTTTTATAGTGCTGGTGATGAACAGGTTAAAAACAGGGCTACACTTCCTCTCCCTTGGATGTTATGTCACAGTGACTCGCATTCAACTATTCTAATGAAAAGAGACATTGCATTCCCTCAACCGTATGCTAAAAACCTAGTGATGGAAACACATGACAGCAGCTTACACCTACCACAGAAGGTCATGCTCTCCCGCAGCGGAACTTTGGTTACTTTTAGCTTGTGGTAGTGCATCTGTAGGTAGTAAGGAGTAACACCCCTTCGAACGTGAAAGAGATGTTAGCACTGCACAGCACTGCATTCCTCCTCAATAACCCTGCCACGTGCTGTTGTACTCCTCACTCCTAGACGATAAGCAAACATCTACAAAGGCTTTGCTTTGTACTGTACAAGATCCCCGTTCTTTTGACGATTATTGACCGAGTTAGTAGACAATTACAACATCTCAGCGTTGTATTAAGAGATTTGAGAATCTAAAAAACGTACACAATATAAAACCCTCTATCAGTGAAAATGTCATGAATAATAAAAATGCAACATTGTCTAAAACAAAGTTTAATCTGTGTATAATAACAACCTCTTACCCAATTATAATAACAACCTCTTACCCAATTATAATAACAACCTCTTACCCAATTATATAACAACCTCTTACCCAATTATATAACAACCTCTTACCCAATTATAATAACAACCTCTTACCCAATTATAATAACAACCTCTTACCCAATTATAATAACAACCTCTTACCCAATTATAATAACAACCTCTTACCCAATTATAATAACAACCTCTTACCCAATTATATAACAACCTCTTACCCAATTATAATAACAACCTCTTACCCAATTATAATAACAACCTCTTACCCAATTATAATAACAACCTCTTACCCAATTATAATAACAACCTCTTACCCAATTATAATAACAACCTCTTACCCAATTATAATAACAACCTCTTACCCAATTATAATAACAACCTCTTACCCAATTATAATAACAACCTCTTACCCAATTATAATAACAACCTCTTACCCAATTATAATAACAACCTCTTACCCAATTATAATAACAACCTCTTACCCAATTATAATAACAACCTCTTACCCAATTATAATAACAACCTCTTACCCAATTATAATAACAACCTCTTACCCAATTATAATAACAACCTCTTACCCAATTGTGTGAGCAATTTCTTCCCAGTCAACATCTGAAGCATCTTCCACCTGCATTGCGTTCAACCTGAAAGGTCGAAATGACATTGAATCAACATTCCCAAAATAAAAATTGTGGACCAATGCCAGTTTCATATGCCTTTATAACAACAACAAAATACTACATTTGGCCCTGTAAATCAGGACTACGCAGAAAGGTAAAGTAAATGGCATATTATTATTATTATTGGGCTCCCGAGTGGCGCAGCGGTCTAAGGCACTGCATCTCAGTGCTTGAGGCGTCACTACAGACCCCCTGGTTCGATTACAGACTGTATCACAACCGGCCGTGATTGGGAGTCCCATAGGGCGGCGCACAATTGGCACAGCGTCGTCCGGGTTTGGCCGGTGTAGGCCGTCATTGTAAATAAGAATTTGTTCTTAACTGACTTGCCTAGTTAAAAAAATAAAATAAAAAATAAATTAGACTGGGCTAATAAATCTTCAAAATAAAATCAGCTAAACACAGATCTACAATAGCATTTAAAATCACCACAAAACTCAAAACTCACGCTTTGATCAAATCCACTTTAGCCTTTATGGTTTTCACACCTCCACTGAATACTGGTCGTCCATATGTCATTTTGTGTGCCAGAATACCAAACCTGGAAAAGCAGGAGAAAAGATGCAGCCTCCGTCTCAAAAGGTGGACCATGTTCTGAATCTGAACACTTGTGGAAACAAAACAAGGGCGATATTTTCATAGTGCAAGAATTGTGCAATGTGCAAAAAACACAGTCAACCTAATTATTATCTTGCAAAATTTTAAAACAAGGCGAGTTATAAAGGAGGCGACTATTTAACTAGAGTTTAGTGAGCAATTAATCTGGGTTAACCCAGAACTCAAATCTTCTGAGACGTGTTAGCTATATGAATAATTTCTGATAATTAACCCGTTTAACATCCGTAGCATAGAATCTTAGCAGTGCCCATTCCATCATAGAATCTTAGCAGTGCCCATTCCATCATAGAATCTTAGCAGTGCCCATTCCATCATATAATCTTAGCAGTGCCCATTCCATCATAGAATCTTAGCAGTGCCCATTCCATCCCTTCGTTAAAGCCACTGCAACAGTTGTCCTTAAAAAGGTTGACTGGCAAAAGAGCCATTTTAGCTTGGGAGCCAGGCTCAGCCAATCAGAATGAGTTTATTCCCACAAAAGAGCCATTTTAGCTTGGGAGCCAGGCTCAGCCAATCAGAATGAGTTTATTGCCACAAAAGAGCCATTTTAGCTTGGGAGCCAGGCTCAGCCAATCAGAATGAGTTTATTCCCACAAAAGAGCCATTTTAGCTTGGGAGCCAGGCTCAGCCAATCAGAATGAGTTTATTCCCACAAAAGAGCCATCAAGCTCATCACCTGGCCAATACCATCCCTACGGTGAAGCATGGTGGTGGCAGCATCATGCTGTGGGGATGTTTTTCAGCGGCAGGGACTGGGAGACTGGTCAGGATCGAGGCAAAGATGAACGGAGCAAAGTACAGAGAGATCCTTGATGAAAACCTCCTCCAGAGCGCTCAGGACCTCAGACTGGGGCGAAGGTTCACCTACCAACAGGACAACAATCCTAAGCACACAGCCAAAACAACGCAGGAGTGGCTTCGGGACAAGTCTCTGAATGTCCTTGAGTGGCCCAGCCAGAGCCCGGACTTGAACCCGATCTCTGGAGAGACCTGAAAATAGCTGTGCAGCGACGCTCCCCATCCAACCTGTCAGAGCTTGAGAGGATCTGCAGAGAAGAATGGGAGAAACTCCCCAAATACAGATGTGCCAAGCTTGTAGCGTCATACCCAAGAAAACTCGAGGCTGTAATCGCTGCCAAAGGTGCTTCAACAAAGTACTGAGTAAAGGGTCTGAATACTTTTCGAATGCACTTTAGCTACCTGAATTACCTCGTACCCCATCGACTCGGTACAGGTACTCCCTGTATATAGCCAACTTATTTGTAATCATTACATCACTGTGTATTTATTCCTTGTGTCGCTATTTCAATGTTGTATTTTATCTTTAAATCTGCATTGTTGGAAAAGGACCCGTAAGTAAGCATTTCACTGTTAAGTCTACAAGCATTATTTGCTGGTTATCTGACGCATCCAATGGTCTGGACAGATTCTACAGTACTATTTATGTTTACAGTCTGTCCTCGCACATTGAAGAAAAGTTTTCAAATTCAATCTCCAGATCATAATGAATTTTAATTTCTGCACTATTTTGCACTATGACAATGACGCCCATAGTTTTTTTTGTTACAAAATGTTAACCCTGAAACCCCGTAACCAATGAAAACTACGCACCATTTCATTCTACACTGGTCCCGGTGGCGAGTCTTCACCTTCCGGCACACATCTGACCAGGGGATGTGGTTGTACAGCTTGTCTTTCCTGATGGTGGCAGGTCCACTGCCCGGCTCTGCCTGTCCCAGCAGGTGGTCTCGAACAGCCTCCATTAGTCTCTTCAGTTCTTCCTCGCTCCAAGAACCCAAGTTTGCGACTGAAGAAAAAAAAAAAAACACACACCAAACAAAGCGGGAACATGGTTCAGACAACGCTGGGTAACAAATGTCACAAAATATATGGGGATGTCAGGCAAGGATCAAGAGTCATTATATTTCAATTCCCAAGTTCCTAATGACTTACACATCTGAGAAAAGCGTCTCAGAAGGGGCGTTTCGCTTCGGCCAGTCAACAGCGAGATCTTCACCCATTTGTTGCCGTGCAACATTTGCAGTTTTCTCAAAGAGGCAAGTTCATCTTCGCTGAACCTTCGTCTAAGAATTCAAAGAAATTAGAATTCAAACGAAGTGGTGATATACATTGCATTGGGAAAGTATTCAGACCCCTTGACTTTATCCACATTGTTACGTTAAAGCCTTATTCTAAAATGGATTAAATAAAAAAATGTCCTCAATCTACACAAGATACCCCATAATGAGAAAGCGAAAACTGGTTTTTATACATTTTTGCAAATGTATTTAAAATAAAAAACAGATAACTTATTTACGTAAGTATCCAGACCCTTTGCTATGAGACTCGAAATTGAACTCAGGTGCATCCTGTTTCCATTGATCATCCTTGAGATGTTTCTACAACTTGATTGGAGTCCACCTGTGGTAAATTAAATTGATTGGACATGATTTGGAAAGGCACACTCCTGTCTATATAAGGTCCCACAGTTGACAGTGCATGTCAGAGCAAAACCAAGCCATGAGGTCGAAGGAATTGTCCTTAGAGCTCAGAGACAGGATTGTGTCGAGGCACAGATCTGGGGAAGGGTGCCAAAACATTTCTGCAGCAATGAAGGTCCCCAAGAACACAGTGGCGTCCATCATTCTTAAATGGAAGAAGTTTGGAACCACCAAAGGTGCTTCAACAAAGTACTGAGTAAAGGATCTGAATACTTATATCAAATGTGATATTTCCGGGTCTTTTGTGTGAATAAATTTGCAAAAAATTCTAAAAACCTGTTTTTGCTTTGTCATTATGGGGTATTGTGTGTAGATTGAGGGGAAAAAAACAATTTAATCAAATTTAACGTAACAAACATTTGGAAAAGTGAAGGGATCTGAATACTCTCTGTATGCCCTGTATATCTAGTGTATATGGATATACACTGTAGGTCTGCAAATGTTAGCCAACTGTAAAGTGCTTCATGTCAGAAAGATAACCCTGTTGTAAGTCCTATTCAATATCACTACACTTTTGTACACCGTCAAAGCCGATTATTACCGCTAAGTAACCAGCCCCGTCTTACCTGCCCTTAAAGTAACCAGCCCCGTCTTACCTAGCCTTAAAGTAACCAGCCCCGTCTTACCTAGCCTTAAAGTAACCAGCCCCGTCTTACCTAGCCTTAAAGTAACCAGCCCCGTCTTACCTGCCCTTAAAGTAACCAGCCCCGTCTTACCTGCCCTTAAAGTAACCAGCCCCGTCTTACCTGCCCTTAAAGTAACCAGCCCCGTCTTACCTAGCTTTAAAGTAACCAGCCCCGTCTTACCTAGCCTTAAAGTAACCAGCCCCGTCTTACCTAGCCTTAAAGTAACCAGCCCCGTCTTACCTAGCCTTAAAGTAACCAGCCCCATCTTACCTGCCCTTAAAGTAACCAGCCCCGTCTTACCTGCCCTTAAAGTAACCAGCCCCGTCTTACCTAGCCTTAAAGTAACCAGCCCCGTCTTACCTAGCCTTAAAGTAACCAGCCCCGTCTTACCTGCCCTTAAAGTAACCAGCCCCGTCTTACCTAGCCTTAAAGTAACCAGCCCCGTCTTACCTGCCCTTAAAGTAACCAGCCCCGTCTTACCTGCCCTTAAAGTAACCAGCCCGTCTTACCTGCCCTTAAAGTAACCAGCCCCGTCTTACCTAGCCTTAAAGTAACCAGCCCCGTCTTACCTAGCCTTAATGTGACTAGCCCCGTCTTACCTGCCCTTAAAGTAACCAGCCCCGTCTTACCTGCCCTTAAAGTAACCAGCCCCGTCTTACCTGCCCTTAAAGTAACCAGCCCGTCTTACCTGCCCTTAAAGTAACCAGCCCCGTCTTACCTAGCCTTAAAGTAACCAGCCCCGTCTTACCTAGCCTTAATGTGACTAGCCCCGTCTTACCTGCCCTTAAAGTAACCAGCCCCGTCTTACCTAGCCTTAAAGTAACCAGCCCCGTCTTACCTGCCCTTAAAGTAACCAGCCCAGTCTTACCTGCCCTTAAAGTAACCAGCCCCGTCTTACCTGCCCTTAAAGTAACCAGCCCCGTCTTACCTAGCCTTAAAGTAACCAGCCCCGTCTTACGTAGCCTTAAAGTAACCAGTCCCGTCTTACCTAGCCTTAAAGTAACCAGCCCCGTCTTACCTGCCCTTAAAGTAACCAGCCCCGTCTTACCTGCCCTTAAAGTAACCAGCCCGTCTTACCTGCCCTTAAAGTAACCAGCCCCGTCTTACCTGCCCTTAAAGTAACCAGCCCCGTCTTACCTGCCCTTAAAGTAACTAGCCCCGTCTTACCTGCCCTTGTAGCTGCTGCCATCAAACATTTTCCTCCCACCTCGAATATAGATCGTATGCCAAGGCCTTGGGATCCCTTCAGCTGGAACAGCAGAGGTTAGGGAGAAGGCAGATCAGTTCACAGATCACTGTAGACAATGCTAAAGAACAGGGATACGATGTGGGGATGAAGCTTTATCTGACAAGTTATCTAATGAACCTGTCTGGAATACACCGCACCTATTCTTTCAGGGAAACTGTGTTGACTCTTCAACCTCTGGATCTTGGTTACTTCGTCTGTGAAGCGCGTTGTATGGAAGAGCTTAGAGGCATCCTCAATCCCTGTGAGAGCCAGGAAGGCGTCTATATTCCTCGTGAGTTGTTTGTTCTCCTGTGCACTGAATCGTCCAGTTCGCAGGGAAATGCCTGAGAAAGACAGAAGATTCCACAGAGGCTTAACCTAGGGCTCCAGACTAACATGTTCTCCTGTAACACTGGTGCCCCTAACATGTTCTCCTGGTAACACTGGTGCCCCTAACATGTTCTCCTGGTAACACTGGTGCCCCTAACATGTTCTCCTGGTAACACTGGTGCCCCTAACATGTTCTCCTGGTAACACTGGTGCCCCTAACATGTTCTCCTGGTAACACTGGTGCCCCTAACATGTTCTCCTGGTAACACTGGTGCCCCTAACATGTTCTCCTGGTAACACTGGTGCCCCTAACATGTTCTCCTGGTAACACTGGTGCCCCTAACATGTTCTCCTGGTAACACTGGTGCCCCTAACATGTTCTCCTGGTAACACTGGTGCCCCTAACATGTTCTCCTGTAACACTGGTGCCCCTAACATGTTCTCCTGTAACACTGGTGCCCCTAACATGTTCTCCTGTAACACTGGTGCCCCTAACATGTTCTCCTGTAACACTGGTGCCCCTAACATGTTCTCCTGGTAACACTGGTGCCCCTAACATGTTCTCCTGGTAACACTGGTGCCCCTAACATGTTCTCCTGGTAACACTGGTGCCCCTAACATGTTCTCCTGGTAACACTGGTGCCCCCAACATGTTCTCCTGGTAACACTGGTGCCCCTAACATGTTCTCCTGGTAACACTGGTGCCCCTAACATGTTCTCCTGTAACACTGGTGCCCCTAACATGTTCTCCTGTAACACTGGTGCCCCTAACATGTTCTCCTGTAACACTGGTGCCCCCCCCTAACATGTTCTCCTGTAACACTGGTGCCCCTAACATGTTCTCCTGGTAACACTGGTGCCCCTAACATGTTCTCCTGGTAACACTGGTGCCCCTAACATGTTCTCCTGGTAACACTGGTGCCCCTAACATGTTCTCCTGGTAACACTGGTGCCCCTAACATGTTCTCCTGGTAACACTGGTGCCCCTAACATGTTCTCCTGGTAACACTGGTGCCCCTAACATGTTCTCCTGTAACACTGGTGCCCCTAACATGTTCTCCTGTAACACTGGTGCCCCTAACATGTTCTCCTGTAACACTGGTGCCCCTAACATGTTCTCCTGTAACACTGGTGCCCCTAACATGTTCTCCTGTAACACTGGTGCCCCTAACATGTTCTCCTGGTAACACTGGTGCCCCTATCATGTTCTCCTGGTAACACTGGTGCCCCTATCATGTTCTCCTGGTAACACTGGTGCCCCTAACATGTTCTCCTGGTAACACTGGTGCCCCTAACATGTTCTCCTGGTAACACTGGTGCCCCTAACATGTTCTCCTGGTAACACTGGTGCCCCTAACATGTTTCTCCTGTAACACTGGTGCCCTAACATGTTCTCCTGTAACACTGGTGCCCCTAACATGTTCTCCTGTAACACTGGTGCCCCTAACATGTTCTCCTGTAACACTGGTGCCCCTAACATGTTCTCCTGTAACACTGGTGCCCCTAACATGTTCTCCTGTAACACTGGTGCCCCTAACATGTTCTCCTGTAACACTGGTGCCCCTAACATGTTCTCCTGTAACACTGGTGCCCCTAACATGGTCTCCTGTAACACTGGTGCCCCTAACATGTTCTCCTGTAACTGGTGCCACTAACATGATCTCCTGTAACCAGTGCCCCTAACATGTTCTCCTGGTAACACTGGTGCCCCTAACATGTTCTCCTGTAACCGGTGCCCCTAACATGTTCTGCTGTAACACTGGTGCCCCTAACATGTTCTCCTCTAACACTGGTGCCCCTAACATGTTCTCCTGTAACTGGTGCCACTAACATGTTCTCCTGTAACACTGGTGCCCCTAACATGTTCTCCTGTAACACTGGTGCCCCTAACATGGTCTCCTGTAACACTGGTGCCCCTAACATGTTCTCCTGTAACTGGTGCCACTAACATGATCTCCTGTAACCAGTGCCCCTAACATGTTCTCCTGGTAACACTGGTGCCCCTAACATGTTCTCCTGTAACCGGTGCCCCTAACATGTTCTGCTGTAACACTGGTGCCCCTAACATGTTCTCCTCTAACACTGGTGCCCCTAACATGTTCTCCTGTAACACTGGTGCCCCTAACATGGTCTCCTGTAACACTGGTGCCCCTAACATGTTCTCCTGTAACACTGGTGCCCCTAACATGTTCTCCTGTAACACTGGTGCCCCTAACATGGTCTCCTGTAACACTGGTGCCCCTAACATGGTCTCCTGTAACACTGGTGCCCCTAACATGGTCTCCTGTAACACTGGTGCCCCTAACATGGTCTCCTGTAACACTGGTGCCCCTAACATGTTCTCCTGTAACACTGGTGCCCCTAACATGTTCTCCTGTAACACTGGTGCCCCTATCATGGTCTCCTGTAACACTGGTGCCCCTAACATGGTCTCCTGTAACACTGGTGCCCCTAACATGGTCTCCTGTAACACTGGTGCCCCTAACATGTTCTCCTGTAACACTGGTGCCCCTAACATGTTCTCCTGGTAACACTGGTGCCCCTAACATGTTCTCCTGTAACACTGGTGCCCCTAACATGTTCTCCTGTAACACTGGTGCCCCTAACATGTTCTCCTGTAACACTGGTGCCCCTAACATGTTCTCCTGGTAACACTGGTACTTTTTCAGTTGGTGGCACCAGCCCATGATTTGGTCGCACCCAAAAAAAGTTGGTGTCACGTAATAGAATAAGTATCATGTCCCAGAGCTTTATCAAGAGGTGGAACAGATTACTGAGGTCGTTCCCAGTGCTTTATCAAGAGGTGGAACAGATTACTGAAATTCAAGAAATACATTGGTTAATCTAACATGTCCTAGCAGAGATGCATGATTCAGGATATTTTAATGTAAAACCTAATCCAGTGACGAATTTTGGGTTGACAATTAGTTATAGTAGTTATAGTTGACTGTTAAAATAGGGCTCCAGAATGTTTAGAATTTTCTTTTTTCAATAGAGATAACATTTGCCTAAATCTAATATCATATGCTAATTTATTTGGGGCTAATTCCCCACCTCAGTAAGAGGAAACTCAAAACACAGCTCACATCAATGCGACCAATAAAAACAGTTCCTTGCACATCCAAGTCTAAAGTTTACCGTGTGCGGACGCCTTTAAGGCTGCAAAATGGGACTAAATGGTGTCAGTCTAGAGGCCTGGTTTAACCCATTGGGTCTAAATGATACTACATTCAGTCAGAGGGCAAAACACTAAATGTGGATTCAACCTCTAAATGCTCGGCTATGAAAAGCCAAGTGACATTTACTTCTGATGTACTGACCTGTTGCAACCTCTACAACCACTGTGATTATTATTTGACCCTGCTGGTCATCTATGAACGTTTGAACATCTTGGAGAAAAATCAGGCCTTAATGGCCATGTACTGTTATAATCTCCACCCGGCACAGCCAGAAGAGGACTGGCCACCCCTCAGAGCCTGGTTCCTCTCTAGGTTTCTTCCTAGGTTCCTGCCTTTTTAGGGAGTTTTTCCTAGCCACCGTGATTCTACATCGCTTGCTGTTTGGGGTTTTAGGCTGGGTTTCCGTATAGCACTTTGTGACATCTGCTGATGTAAAAAGGGCTTTATAAATACAAGTTGATTGATTGTGTTAAGGGAGCAAATCACATGTTCCTTTTTTCCAGAATTGAAATCAATTTCTCATCATACATCAACACAGTAACATGTTACATAACATCTCTTCCACGGACTGTGATAAACACCATGAGGGACTCAAGAATAAACTTACCTTGTCTTCGGAATCCCTTGAATCGATCAAGATCATACTTTATCATTGCTCTGATACTCCAAGCAGCATGAGACTCAATATTGGGAATAAACTCTTTGAGCTCATTCATAGCCCTCCGTTCTTTCTCACTGTAACATAGGGAGGGGAGAACATCTAAATAACATAACATCTCAATCTGAAATATGTTTTGAAACCTCTGAGTAGACAGAGCAGGACAGCAATGCTTCCTCTCTGCACAGGAAGAGGTTTCAGATTCAACTCTGGTACACCGCACAATGATTCACAAAAGGTCTGGTTTCACCAGCAAATCCTGTTGTCAATGGTTATGTTCACTAACCACCAGTAAGGGAAATCACTCTTCAAAATATGCTACATTTCACACTTAAAAACGAGTGTACGAGGTTCCTTTCTACCGACCTTAGAGGTTTCTCCTTTAGGCTGCGTCTGCGGTGTTGGGTCCTTGTTGCAACCATGGTTGTATGTGGGCCATCCTCCCCTGTCTCAGGTTCTGGTCCAGCATCAGGTGTCCCGTTATCAGACGTCGAGGGCACACGGTCCATTCCCGTGTCGGACTCTCTGCTGCGTTCTCTCTTTTTCCTCCTGCTGCCCTCTACAGCAGCAGACCCTCCGTCCGGTTGTGTTGTCAGCCTCATTGTCTTCCATTTTCTCTCAGTTTGTTCTATAATACCCGGAAGCTCCGTTTCATCTGGACAAACGTTCAGTTGAATCTCTCCAATTTTTTCCTTTTTTCGTTTCCTCTTCTCCTTTACATTGTTCTGTTGCTCCGTTACCACATTTTCACCTCCCTCAACCGTGTCAGTGTATAGTTCTATGATTTCAGGATCATCTGCTAATCTTAAAACTGTGTGACGGCTTTCCGCTCCCTCTCCAAGCTCCGTTCGTCTGTTCTTGTGCTTCTTCTTACTCCTTCTGGCCTCCTCTGGCACCCTTACATCCGAGACATCTACTGCAGACGCTGAGAGGCCACTGTCCTTCCCGTCTTCTGTCCGTCTGTCATTATGGTATTTATTTTTCCTCCAGCTACTCATCGCCTCCTCAGCAACAGTCGCTCCATCGTCTCGTTGTGTTTGAAGATCGTTTGACTTTTTCTTAGTTTTCCCTTCAGTTCGTTCCTCCATTTCAGCTTGAACATTCACGCGCTTCTCTTTCTTCTTTTGCTTTTTACGTTTCTTCCTCTCGTTCTCCACCATTTCCAACTCCGTCACCGTTTGCTCTTCATGCTGTTTCTTACTTCTCTCTACTTCCTGTCTTTCTTCCTGTCCCTGTTCAGAGCCTACTTTAGTCTTTTCCCCTCTTCTTTTGGAATTTTGTTGCATCCCTCAACTGTGTCGGGTACCGCTGATGAGAATAATTCAGGAACGTCTTCAAATAAACAGGGATGTTGGAAATATCTCAAGCAATAAGGGAATCTCACTCGCCCTGATCTGTGGGTGTCGTCCCCAGCATGGTGGCAGCTGCATAACTTATTTGCTCCATCTATAGCACAAAGACAATAGCAATATTAAACTCAACTCCACGATTTACCATGGAGTTGATCGCCGTCTAGTGTGGGAAGACTGGAGCTCAGATGTAAAATAAAATGAAGTTATCAAAAACGACTGATTTCAGCACCCAAAGAATAGCCCGGGTTTACACACAACATTGTTCTAATGTAAACATGTGCATCTTGCAAACACACACATAAACAGGCACCTGAACAACGGAGCAGCTGCATCCCCACTTTCAAAATAGGGGTGCAAACCTGTGTTTTGTTTTTGCCACCCCCTACTTTTCCAAGACTAAATAATCCTGATCCATTGGGTCATTTTCAATGATTAGTAATGTTTTGAGCTAGTCTGTATTAAAATATACAGTACGTCCATTTTATATATATATAAATAATAAATAATTAACAGATTGCATTTTGCCCCGTCTCCTGAAGATGAATGGTTATTCCCACTAAAGTTTCGCTTCCCTGCCGCCCGCCCGCCGCTGTTTTGGTTCAGTGCTGTTTGAAAACACTAGTTGCACCACTGGTGTTTAAAATACAACAGTTGATCTATGGTTGATCTATAGTGTGTATGCACGAATGACTGTAAGTCGCTTTGGATAAAAGCGTCTGCTAAATGGCATATTATTATTATTATTATAGTGTTGTGCTGTTCCATTTGTAGCTTATTGTTACAATGTATCTTCTAGAAATGTGACTTTAAACCTAACATTAACCACACTGCTAAGCTTATGCCTTACCCTAACCTACAATTAAGAAAAATGTAAACCAGGGAGAACCCAACAAGCACGTATGCAATAAGTGAAAACACATTATCTAACTGGGGGTAGCTAGCTAACATGTCACAAAGCATGATGCGCTAGCCAGGTAACCTTCATTCTAAAATAATGTTATATTTCCAAGTTAGTCAGATATTAGTTTAGTTAGCTCCCATGCCAATTTCAAGTCTAACTAGCGAGCAAGCTACCAGCTAGCTTCTTATTTGACCAAAAAAATCCACTTAGTCTCCCGAGTGGTGCAGTGGTCTAAGGCCACTGCACCACTGTGCCACTAGAGATCCTGGTTCGAATCCAGGCTCTGTCGCAGCCGGCCGCGACCGGGAGACTCATGGGGCGGCGCACAATTGGCCCAGCGTCGTCCAGGGTAGGGGAGGGAATGGCCGGCAGGGATGTAGATCAGTTGATAGAGCATGGCGTTTGCAACGCCAGGGTTGTGGGTTCGATTCCCACGGGGGGCCAGTATAAAAATATATATATGTATTCACTAACTGTAAGTCGGTCTGGATAAGAGCGTCTGCTAAATGACTAAAATGTAAATGTAAACTTAACCATTTATTTTTTAGTCATTTTAGCAGACGCTCTTATCCAGACAGACTTACAGTTGTTAGTGAGTGCATATATTTTTCATCTACCAACTGAGCTACACGGGAAAATGTATCAATGTTTCTCAAACTTACTGGCTAATTAATTTAAATCACCTGGTTTTATGCTGTTTTATTGGTCCACATAACTCGTCTGTCACCCACAGCAGAAGTACCTCATGAACAACATGGGGGGGAAACAAAACTGGCCATGCTGATGCTTTTCGTCCTACCAGATAACTTCTAATGGACTTTGAAGAAACTAAATATAGGCAATACTGCCCCCCAGTGGACTGCTAGCTAAATTACAGGTTGTTGTACAGTCAACCTCGGTGCCGGTTAGTTAGCCAGTTGTCAAACAATCCCTAGATAACTGGCAACACAGCATGGATTAGGCTGCATTAAAATCATTATGTACATTGTGTATTTGAGTTAACAGTTGCTGGTCTGACGTAACGCTACTTTAGTTAAAATCACGACCAGTGACAGTGAATCTTCTTCCACACGAGGGGTGGAAAGCTCAGCTATGGCACCACATGAGAACAATTTCAGACAAATATTCAGTGGCATATTTTAGTTCCCCTTTTCGCTAAAGTAGTTAGGAACGCTTACCATCTCCAATACCGGTTTATTTTCTCCATCTATCCCCGCCATGCTTGAAAAAAACACTCTCGACTGCGAGATAAAACGTGGTCCCGGTTCATGGGACACCACCGGATACAAAATCCAACATGGCTGCCAACGCAATGCCATATATGGACATGTCTGTGTGACGTCCAAACTCAGTAGCTCTACTCTCATTAGTCCTAAAACATCATGGATGAGATCAATGGGGTCATCAGAAATCATATACATAGCTACTTAGCTTGCAACAAATAATATTTTACTTTTTTATTTATTTATTTTATTTTTAAAAAGCTAATCTGAATGCGATGCTCACGAGTTCTGTTCACAAAACGATCAGCTAGATAGCTAGCTAGCTATCTAACTAGCTTGGTTAGCTAACGTTAGCTAGCTAGCTAAGTTTAGCTAGCTACAAATAGATAGATGGTAATGGCGCAAATCCTATTTTCCCTAACCCCTAACACGTACTCTTTCCCTAACCTTAACCCAAAAACCTAACCCTAGCCCTAACCCTAACCCTAAAACTAATTCTAACCCTAACACTAATTCTAACCTTAACGCTAAACACCCTAGAAATAGCATTTGACCTTGTGGGGACCAACAAAATGTCCGCAGTTGGTCACATTTTTGTTTGTTTAGTATTCTTTTGGGGACTCCTGGTCCCCACAAGAATAGTTAAACATGTCCACACAAACACACACACACTAAAGGATTGGGATAACCTGGTTTGGTTATCTTGTTCTAGCTAGTTGTAGTCACTCACCTCTCTCTGTCATTGTGTGTGTGTGTCTGAGCTGTGTTCAGTAGATAAAAACATTGTTGAAAGTTCAGATATAAATGAATTGTCTATATATTATCTTATGTGTCTCTCTGCCAGGTAGGTCTAGCAATTAATCATATCGTCTCTACTCATTCCATTAGGCCTACTGCTAACTTCAACGTGTTCATTGTCATCCACCTGAACTCAACCCTGTTGATGCTGTTCTCTATTGATGGTCCTGAACTGAAACCTGTTGATGCTGTTCTCTATTGACGTTCTTTATTGAAGCTTGGTTCAACACACCATAACAAAACGTGTTGCAACAAAAAAACAGCAACAAGCGTTTGATATTGGACAAGTTCAGATAGTATTCTACCTTCTGTTTCACTGTGTTTTCTGACATGTTGTTCCTTCTAAACATTACCCTGTCCTTTACTGACTTATTCTCTGTCTGGCTGCGTTGAGCCGGGCTGTGAGGTGCTGGTGGTCTCTGGGTGCTGGTGGTCTCTGGGTGCTGGTGGTCTCTGGGTGCTGGTGGTCTCTGGGGGCTGGTGGTCTCTGGGGGCTGGTGGTCTCTGGGTGCTGGTGGTCTCTGGGTGCTGGTGGTCTCTGGGGGCTGGTGGTCTCTGGGGGCTGGTGGTCTCTGGGTGCTGGTGGTCCTCTGGGGGCTGGTGGTCTCTGGGTGCTGGTGGTCTCTGGGTGCTGGTGGTCTCTGGGGGCTGGTGGTCTCTGGGGGCTGGTGGTCTCTGGGTGCTGGTGGTCTCTGGGTGCTGGTGGTCTCTGGGGGCTGGTGGTCTCTGGGGGCTGGTGGTCTCTGGGTGCTGGTGGTCTCTGGGGGCTGGTGGTCTCTGGGTGCTGGTGGTCTCTGGGGGCTGGTGGTCTCTGGGCAGCAGGAGGAGCCTGCAGTGGAGGAGTGGCTGTGGCTGTGAGGTGGTGCCCATGCCAGTCCATGGCCGGGGGCTGGAGAGGGCAGAGTAGACAGCAGCTGGAGGAGCCTGCAGTGGAGGAGTGGCTGTGGCTGTGAGGTGGTGCCCATGCCAGTCCATGGCAGAGGCTGGAGAGGGCAGAGTAGACAGCAGCTGGAGGAGCCTGCAGTGGAGGAGTGGCTGTGGCTGTGAGGTGGTGCCCATGCCAGTCCATGGCAGAGGCTGGAGAGGGCAGAGGCTGGAGAGGGCAGAGGCTGGAGAGGGCAGAGGCTGGAGAGGGCAGAGGCTGGAGAGGGCAGAGGCTGGAGAGGGCAGAGGCTGGAGAGGGGCAGAGGCTGGAGAGGGCAGAGGCTGGAGAGGGCCGAGGCTGGAGAGGGCAGAGGCTGGAGAGGGCAGAGGCTGGAGAGGGCAGAGGCTGGAGAGGGCAGAGGCTGGAGAGGGCAGAGGCTGGAGAGGGCAGAGGCTGGAGAGGGCAGAGGCTGGAGAGGGCAGAGGCTGGAGAGGGCCGAGGCTGGAGAGGGCAGAGGCTGGAGAGGGCAGAGGCTGGAGAGGGCAGAGGCTGGAGAGGGCAGAGGCTGGAGAGGGCAGAGGCTGGAGAGGGCCGAGGCTGGAGAGGGCCGAGGAGACAGCAGCTGAGCCGCTTTGGTCTGCCCTCCCTACAGACAGTGGTAGGAGGCAGCCTCAGCAACAGACACAGAAACAGGTGAGGAATGGATGAAGGGGGACGACACACAGCGAGAGACACACACACACACACACACACACACACACACACACACACAACACACACACACACACACACACACGGACGGACGGACGGACGGACGTGGTACAGTACTGTACTACAGCATGCAGGCTTAACGCCTATTTGATCCGACCCCCTTTGGCGAAAAATGTTGAAGTTGACTATCAGTCTGCAACTACCACAAGACAGTCATATCTTCTTCCTTCCCATCCTGGCTGGGATTTACATTGACATGATATTCATTTAGCAGACGCTCTTATCCAGAGAGACTTACAGGAGCAATTAACCCACTACCTGACCCCCTCCATCTAGGAGCAGTAACACACACTAACCCACTACCTGACCCCCTCCGTTTAGGAGCAGTAACACACACTAACCCACTACCTGACCCCCTCCATCTAGGAGCAGTAACACACACTAACCCACTACCTGACCCCCTCCATCTAGGAGCAGTAACACACACTAACCCACTACCTGACCCCCTCCATCTAGGAGCAGTAACACACACTAACCCACTACCTGACCCCCTCCATCTAGGAGCAGTAACACACTAACCCACTACCTGACCCCCTCCATCTAGGAGCAGTAACACACACTAACCCACTACCTGACCCCCTCCATCTAGGAGCAGTAACACACACTAACCCACTACCTGACCCCCTCCGTTTAGGAGCAGTAACACACACTAACCCACTACCTGACCCCCTCCATCTAGGAGCAGTAACACACACTAACCCACTACCTGACCCCCTCCATCTAGGAGCAGTAACACATTAACCCACTACCTGACCCCCTCCGTTTAGGAGCAGTAACACACTAACCCACTACCTGACCCCCTCCATCTAGGAGCAGTAACACACTAACCCACTACCTGACCCCCTCCGTTTAGGAGCAGTAACACACTAACCCACTACCTGACCCCCTCCATCTAGGAGCAGTAACACACACTAACCCACTACCTGACCCCCTCCATCTAGGAGCAGTAACACACACTAACCCCACTACCTGACCCCCTCCATCTAGGAGCAGTAACACATTAACCCACTACCTGACCCCCTCCATCTAGGAGCAGTAACACACTAACCCACTACCTGACCCCCTCCATCTAGGAGCAGTAACACACACTAACCCACTACCTGACCCCCTCCATCTAGGAGCAGTAACACACTAACCCACTACCTGACCCCCTCCGTTTAGGAGCAGTAACACACTAACCCACTACCTGACCCCCTCCATCTAGGAGCAGTAACACATTAACCCACTACCTGACCCCCTCCATCTAGGAGCAGTAACACACTAACCCACTACCTGACCCCCTCCATCTAGGAGCAGTAACACACACTAACCCACTACCTGACCCCCTCCGTTTAGGAGCAGTAACACACACTAACCCACTACCTGACCCCCTCCTTCTAGGAGCAGTAACACACTAACCCACTACCTGACCCCCTCCATCTAGGAGCAGTAACACATTAACCCACTACCTGACCCCCTCCGTTTAGGAGCAGTAACACACTAACCCACTACCTGACCCCCTCCATCTAGGAGCAGTAACACACTAACCCACTACCTGACCCCCTCCGTTTAGGAGCAGTAACACCTAACCCACTACCTGACCCCCTCCATCTAGGAGCAGTAACACACACTAACCCACTACCTGACCCCCTCCATCTAGGAGCAGTAACACACACTAACCCACTACCTGACCCCCTCCATCTAGGAGCAGTAACACATTAACCCACTACCTGACCCCCTCCATCTAGGAGCAGTAACACCTAACCCACTACCTGACCCCCTCCATCTAGGAGCAGTAACACACACTAACCCACTACCTGACCCCCTCCATCTAGGAGCAGTAACACACTAACCCACTACCTGACCCCCTCCGTTTAGGAGCAGTAACACACTAACCCACTACCTGACCCCCTCCATCTAGGAGCAGTAACACATTAACCCACTACCTGACCCCCTCCATCTAGGAGCAGTAACACACTAACCCACTACCTGACCCCCTCCATCTAGGAGCAGTAACACACACAACCCACTACCTGACCCCCTCCGTTTAGGAGCAGTAACACACACTAACCCACTACCTGACCCCCTCCTTCTAGGAGCAGTAACACACTAACCCACTACCTGACCCCCTCCATCTAGGAGCAGTAACACACTAACCCACTACCTGACCCCCTCCTTCTAGGAGCAGTAACACACACTAACCCACTACCTGACCCCCTCCATCTAGGAGCAGTAACACACTAACCCCACTACCTGACCCCCCTCCATCTAGGAGCAGTAACACACTAACCCACTACCTGACCCCCTCCATCTAGGAGCCAGTAACACACACTAACCCACTACCTGACCCCCTCCATCTAGGAGCAGTAACACACTAACCCACTACCTGACCCCCTCCGTTTAGGAGCAGTAACACACTAACCCACTACCTGACCCCCTCCATCTAGGAGCAGTAACACATTAACCCACTACCTGACCCCCTCCATCTAGGAGCCAGTAACACACTAACCCACTACTGACCCCCTCCATCTAGAGCAGTAACACACACTAACCCACTACCTGACCCCCTCCATCTAGGAGCAGTAACACACACTAACCCACTACCTGACCCCCTCCATCTAGGAGCAGTAACACACAACCCACTACCTGACCCCCTCCGTTTAGGAGCAGTAACACACTAACCCACTACTAGCCCCCTCCGTTTTGGAGCATGTAACACACACTTACCTCACTACCTGACACCCCTCCGTTTAGAGCATAACACCTAACCCACTACCTGACACTGACTCCCTCATATTGGACAGTAACACGTAGCCCACTACCTGACCCCTCGTTTAGGATGCATAACACACACTGACCCTACTCCTGACCTCCTTTAGGAACGTAACACACACTACTTACTATATTTAATAGCACAGATGCCTTGTTATTGTGGTGTGTCCATTAGACCTATAATACAGTGTTGACTGGCGGACTCAGAACCCAATCTTTCCCTGAAACCAAAATCAACCCTACTGTTAGAACTTGTTGGTACATCTGAACAGTATTGAATAGGTGTAACAATATGCTGGTAGCTCCATCAGACCTCTGACACACCGTGTGGGAATTAAGGAAATGTCTGTTGTGTGTTGTTTGTTTTGTATGGTATTGACACACTTATTTTTTTGCTAGCTAGCTAGGTCTCAAAACGAGCTTGCTCAAGCTCTGATCTTGACTCTGCAAGACACTGCTTATCCCTGCAATACAGTTACAGACAGGTAGCTAGGTACACGTGCAGGTAAATATAATACAAAACCACTTCTAACACTCTTTGCCCTGTTTAACACATTAAATATACATCACCCATCTAACGTAGCTAGCTATTTGTACATGCTAGCGTTAGCTAAACAATCGCCAGCTGATCGTTTTCTGAATAGGACTCGTGTGCATCGCATTCAGATTTGCTTTTTATTTTTAAAAAAAAACTTGAAATATGTTTTGTTGTAAAGTAACTAGTTAAGTAGCTATACACTTAGCTATCTATATGTACCAATTTCTGAAGATCCATTGATCTCATCCATGATGTACTGTATCGCAAGCTACATGCAAAAAAAAACTTAACAAATTATTAGACCAAAGGGAGTAGAGCTACTAAATTCGGACGTCACACACACACATGTCCAAATATGGCATTGCGTTGGCAGCCATATTGGATTTTCGATCCGCTGATGTCCTTGGAACCGGGACCATAACGCTTCGAACACACCGACTGTGTTTGCGCAAAATAGCATGCAGCATCATCTAAGGCACTGCATCTCAGTGCTTGAGGCGTCACTACAGACTGTATCACAACCGGCCGTGATTGGGAGTCCCATAGGGCGGCGCACAATTGGCCCAGCGTCGTCCGGGTTTGGCCGGTGTAGGCCGTCATTGTAAATAAGAATTTGTTCTTAACTGACTTGCCTAGTTAAATAAAGGTAAAATAAAAAATAAAATACATCTAGATATGTGTGCAACAAAATATCAACATTCACCTTCTGCTACCATTTCTGTCTACCCGTCTACGCTTACAGTTTGACGAATAAATTCCATAAATCCAACATTTGCTCCACATAGAAGCCCCCCCCCCCCCCCCCCCCCAAAAAAAACCAACAACAACATTAAAACAAACAAAAAAAATGATTTCTTGTAAAGTGGTTATCCCACTGGCTATAGGGTGAATGCACCAATTTGTAAGTCGCTCTGGATAAGAGCGTCTGCTAAATGACGTAGATGTAAATGTAATGTAAATGTGTGTTCAAAGCGTAAGGGTTATACCACTGATAGCACAATGAGACAGATATTTCATTGGATGTATAAACGTGAAGCATCCGTTTGGCCTTTCCACTCACTAAATGTGGTAGTGAGAGGAAGCCCACTGGCGGGCAGTGGGAGAAGATGGAACGATATGGATTTTGGCCGATATATCCTGCAAATTTTCTCATCGATGAAACATTTGCTCTGAATACAGTTTTCTGTTCCCAAAACTAAACTGTGCTATGAACAGAGTGGACTAAGTTTTGTAGACTTTACCCTTCGCAAAAGTTGTTAAAAATAGTGTATACGGTGTGTATAAGGAGAAGGAGATATTATTATTATTATATTATTATTATATTAAGGAGATATGCAGATATAGGCTAGAACGGCCCAATAGGATCTCGCCAGCGCATGCTTGGCTCTGCCCACTTTGACTCATTTGTTCCCACTTGGAAATGACAGGCAGTGGTCTATCTTGGTTTAGTTATACATCTTTGGTTATACCTCTCGACTGCAACGCTTCCTGTTTCGTCGCGTAAATGTGACGTCGGTGAAAAAACACGTGACGTTAGTCAGCGATACACGACCAGAAAGTAGTTGTGTACCAAGAAGTGTAGTTCAAATATTTCGCATGCTTATTCGTTGTAAGCAGTAGTTCCTAGTCGAAGAACCACATTTCCCTAGAAGGAACCAGAGAACGCTTCTGATGAAGGGTCTGCAAAGCAGAAGTCATTCAAGAGGATTATCGAAGCCGTTGTTTAAATGGTGAAAACACATCGTTTTGAAGACTGCTGAGCCTCGCAGGTATGTATGATGATGTTTTATTGTTTATTACTGCTAACAAAACCATTTATATGGTCGTATTATTGCTAACGATGATGTGCCATGAGGATCGGAATCTTAGGTATCCAGGATGGCTGTAAGCTTACAACAGTCTTTGTTAGTCATTTTTGTAAGTTATACTAACCAGCCATCAACCTAACGTTAAGTTATTTAGCTACTTTCGTTTTAATCAAAACAAAAGTGGTAATGGTAAAGTTAGCTACGGTGGTGAATATCTTGCTCATGTCACCAGATGTTCACCTTGCAGCCAAACGGCTAGCTAGTGCATTGGATTTGGTTGGTTAGTTAGTTAACGTTAGCTGGCTAATTAGCTAACGTTACATGTCAGTGTTGTTGATCTTAACTACGTTGTTGTTGACTTGGCTACTATTCATTCTCTATCTTGCCACTAGCCTAGTGGTGAAAATATGTCAACCCACCATTTCTCTCTATCCGTCTCCCTCCCTCCACCCATCCCTCCTTCTCTCTCAGTGAATCCCTGACCAACTGACCTTCCTGACCCTGTGCACAACCATGGCGATCCTGTTTGCGGTGGTCGCCCGCAGCAGCACCATCCTGGCGAAGCATGCGTGGTGTGGCGGTAATTTCCTGGAGGTGACAGAACAGATCCTGGCTAAGATACCGTCCGAGAACAACAAGCTCACCTACAGCCATGGCAGGTAGCGTTAACACATGCACTCAAAGACAGCCACACACACATCCTCCTGGAGTTGGACATTCCTGTTAGACTTGTACTGTATGAATGTTGGCGTGACCGTTGAAGATCTGACTGAGTTATCTGTCTTCTCCTTCAGCTATCTCTTCCACTACATCTGCCATGACAGAATCATATACCTCTGTATCACCGATGACGTGAGTATACAGGCTGTAGTTTTGATGTGAGTGAGTATGTTCTGTATAGGTGGGCTGCAGGACTGTTAACCCCCTAGAGTCGATGTCTGCGCACCTGCTGAAATCTAATTAGCATAAATAAATAAAAAATCTAAATCTGTCAGTTTAAGCTAGAGATATCTTTTGCATTGGATGCGTCTCAATCTGGTGGCCTTCCGCATCTGCGGTGGACGGTGGCCAAGCCACAGCGGTGTTTATCAGACCGTGAGTCATCCCGAAAATCAGTCTTCTCACGAAAACGCCTGTAGCGTCCGAATGGTTTGGCCTACAAACCCCCCCCCCCCCCGTCAGTCAACACACACCCTGTAGTGGGTGTTGACTGTCTGTCTGTCAGGACTGTAGTGTGTGTTGACTGACTGCCTGTCTGTCAGGACTGTAGTGTGTGTTGACTGACTGTCTGTCAGGACTGTAGTGTGTGTTGACTGTCTGTCAGGACTGTAGTGTGTGTTAACTGTCTGTTTGTCTGTCTATCTGTCAGGACTATAGTGGGTGTTGACTGTCTGTCAGGACTGTAGTGTGTGTTGACTGACTGTCTGTCTGTCTGTCTGTCAGGACTGTAGTGTGTGTCTGTCTGTCTGTCTGTCTGTCTGTCAGGACTGTAGTGTGTGTTAACTGTCTGTTTGTCTGTCTATCTGTCAGGACTGTAGTGGGTGTTGACTGACTGTCTGTCTGTCTGTCTGTCAGGACTGTATGTGGTGTTGTTGTAACTGTTGTGTACTGCGTCTGTCAGGACTGTAGTGTGTGTTGACTGACCTGTCTGTCAGGACTGTAGTGTGTGTTGACTGACTGTCTGTCTGTCTGTCTGTCAGGACTGTAGTGTGTGTTGACTGTCTGTCTGTCAGGACTGTAGTGTGTGTTGACTGTCTGTCTGTCAGGACTGTAGTGTGTGTTGACTGACTGCCTGTCTGTCAGGACTGTAGTGTGTGTTGACTGACTGTCTGTCTGTCTGTCAGGACTGTAGTGTGTGTTAACTGTCTGTCTGTCTGTCTGTCAGGACTGTAGTGTGTGTTGACTGACTGTCTGTCTGTCAGGACTGTAGTGTGTGTTGACTGTCTGTCTGTCTGTCAGGACTGTAGTTGTTGTGTTGACTGTCGTTGTCGTTTAGGACTGTAGTGTGTGTTGACTGTCTGTCTGTCTGTACTGTCAGACTGTAGTGTTGTTGACTGTCGTACTGTCTGTCAGGACTGTAGTGTGTGTTGACTGACTGTCTGTCAGGACTGTAGTGTGTGTTGACTGTCTGTCTGTCTGTCTGTCAGGACTGTAGTGTGTGTTGACTGTCTGTCTGTCAGGACTGTAGTGTGTGTTGACTGAGTCTGTCTGTCAGGACTGTAGTGTGTGTTGACTGTCTGCCTGTCTGTCAGGACTGTAGTGTGTGTTGACTGACTGTCTGTCTGTCTGTCAGGACTGTAGTGTGTGTTAACTGTCTGTCTGTCTTCTGTCAGGACTGTAGTGTGTGTTGACTGACTGTCTGTCTGTCAGGACTGTAGTGTGTGTTGACTGTCTGTCTGTCTGTCAGGACTGTAGTGTGTGTTGACTGTCTGTCAGGACTGTAGTGTGTGTTAACTGTCTGTTTGTCTGTCTGTCTGTCAGGACTTAGTGGGTGTTGACTGTCTGTCAGGACTGTAGTGTGTGTTGACTGACTGTCTGTCTGTCTGTGCAGGACTGTAGTGTGTGTGTGACTGTCTGTCAGGACTGTAGTGTGTGTGACTGTACTGTCTGTTGCTTCAGACTGTAGTGTTGTTGCTGTCCTGTCAGGACTGTAGTTGTGTGTGACTGTCTCTGTCTGTAGCTGTATGTCTGTTGCTGTGAGACTGTATGTCGGTCTGTCGTTGCTGCTGTCTGTCTGTCTGTCAGGACTGTAGTGTGTGTTGACTGTCTGTCAGGACGTAGTGTGTGTTGACTGACTGTCCTGTCGTGTCTGTTCTGTCTGTCTGTCTGTCAGGACTGTAGTGTGTGTTGACTGTCTGACTGTCTGTCAGGACTGTAGTGTGTGTTGATGACTGTCTGTCGGCTGTATGTGTCTGCTGTCTGTCTGTCGGTATGATCTGTCTGTCTGTCAGGACGTATGTAGGTTGTCGTCTGCGTCACACGACTGAGTAGGTGAGAGCGTTTCAGACGACGTATGGTTCCGAGCTCAGACAGCTCTGCCCTACGCTATGAACTCAGAGTTCTCCCTCCAACTGCTCGATGGCCCAGATGGTGAGAGACACCCACACAGACACACACACACACACAGACACACACACACACACACACACACAGACACACACACACACACACACACACCACACACACACACACACACACACAGACAGACACACCAGACACACACAACAGACACACACACAGCACACACACAACACACACACACACACAGACACACACACAACACACACACACACACAACACACACACACACACAGACACACACAACAGCACACACACACAGACACACACACACACACACACAACACACACAACACACACACACCACACACACACAGACACACACACACACACACACACAGACACACACACACACACACACACATCACATGATCACATGATTTCATCTGAACTATAGAAGTGATTGATCGTGAATGGTTAAGACTAGTGTGTTGACTGTCTGTTTGACTCCCCCTCCCCCCTCCTCCCCACCCCACACCCCTCATCATCAAAAAATCCTCATCAATCTAAACACAATACCCCATAATGACAAGCGAAAACAGGTTTAAAAAAAAAAACAGAAATACCTAATTTACATAAGTATTCAGACTCTTTGCTATGAAACTCAAAATTGAGCTCAGGTGCATCCTGTTTCCATTGATCATCCTTGAGATGTTTCTACAAGTTGATTCAATTGATTGGACATGATTTGGAAAGGCACACACCTGTCTATATAAGGTCCCACAGTTGACAGGTCTTGTCAGAGCAGAAACTAAGCCATGAAGTCGAAGGAATTGTCCGTAGATCTCCCAGATGAGGCATAGATCTGGGGAAGGGTATAAAACAATGTCTGCAGCATTGAAGGTCCCCAAGAACACAGTGGCCTCCATCATTCTTAAATGGAAGAAGTTTGGAACCACCAAGACTCTTCCTAGAGCTGGCCGCCCGGCCAAACTGAGCAATCGGGGGAGAAGGGCCTTGGTCAGGGAGGTGACGAAGGGCCTTGGTCAGGGAGGTGACGAAGGGCCTTGGTCAGGGAGGTGACCAAGAACCCGATGGTCACTCTGACAGAGCTCCAGAGTTCCTCTGTGGAGATGGGAGAACCTTCCAGAAGGACAACCATCTCTGCAGCACTCCACCAATCAGACCTTTATGGTAGAGTGGCCAGACGGAAGCCACTCCTCAGTAAAAGGCGCATGACAGCCTACTTGGAGTTTGCCAAAAGGCACCTAAAGACTCTCAGACCATGAGAAACAAGATTCTCTGGTCTGATGAAACCAAGATTGAACCATTTGGCCTGAATGCCAAGCGTCACGTCTGGAGGAAACCTGCCACCATCCCTATGGTGAAGCATGGTGGTGGCAGCATCATGCTGTGAGGATGTTTTTCAGCGGCAGGGACTGGGAGACTGGATAAAAGACTGGGCTGAAAGGGTTATGGCTGTGGGGAAGCTGGAGGAAGGGTTAATGGATAAAAGACTGGGCTGAAAGGAGGTTGTATAAAGGTTGAATGGAGGTTGTGTAAAGGTTGAATGGAGGTTGTGTAAAGGTTGAATGGAGGTTGTGTAAAAGTTGAATGGAGGTTGTGTAAAGGTTGAATGGAGGATGTGTAAAGGTTGCATGGCAACTCTGCCTCTGGGGGAACTCTGAGCACATG